TGAATTGAATTTTTTGAAATCGAGATGAGATGGTTGACATTTTTTGAAAAGAAGGTTGCTTAAATTGTAAAGAAGATGAATTGCGTAACGCCGTTTTCGTGTAAAATATACATCTTTATTTTGTTTACTAGGGGCTTCAAATAAATTTAAATGAGATCCATCTAAGGCACCAATTACATAAAGAAATCCATAAATTTTTTCAAAACTTTAATGAACTTTCTGACGATAATTTTCACGTGGCCAAATTATAACTTCATTTTTTAAAGATTTTAAAACTTTAACTATCCTGAAGTAAATAAAGGAACTGCACCTTCTGCTATACCAAATTTAGAACAAATATCCCAAATTATTGCTTTTTCGCCTAATTTAAATTCAGAACTTGATATAATGATTCGACAAACTTTTTTCTTAAACTAAAACTACTTATAATAATGATTTTATTATAAATTTCGCGATATTGCTATAATTTATTTATTTGCGGTAAGTCGATAACGATTTTTTTCTTGATATACTGATATAAAAAAATGATTTTTTTCTTGATTTAATGAATTAATCATCATTATAAAATTTAAACTTTTTTTTAATATATGAATTTATACTAATTTAGTAAAATTTTAAATGTTCAATAAATTAATATAAATATAAATCAGAAGATTTTGTTTCTTATCTTCTGAAAAAAAGTAATATATTGTCTATAGGACAAAAGCAAGAATTTTGTCTTAAAAAAATAAACAATTGGAATCTTCATTCCAATTAAATATAAATGATTTTATTAGTTTTAATTAGATTTTTTTTTTTGTTCTTAAATTTTATAAATAATTACAATAAAGAAATAATATAACATATAATAAGCAAATAATAAATTATAATAAATAATAAATACATTGCATTAGTTGTAAAATAATAGTAAAATTTAATATAACAGACTATTATTTTTTTTTACTATTTAAATCAATATACTCATTTTTCTGAATTCTCATTATAATAAGTTAAATCACTAAATAATAGGTTTATTATATTGAGTTCTAACTGTATATAAGATTACAGTAAGTTGTTTTTTTATTGGAGCTTTTTCTCCTTTAAGAAATATTATTAAAAAATTTATGATTTTATATTTATTCACTATTATCCAAAATATTGATTGTTTTATTCTTAAAGTTTTTCAAAACTAATATTATCATAACTAAATAAAATATTTAAATACCAGTAATCTGATTTTGGATAAATATTTATAATTTAAGATAGTTAGTTTAATTAACAAGAAATAATAGAAGTAATTCAAGTTTTATTATAACAAGAATTAATTTTTGTATCATCTAAATAAAATTCAATTGAATCTAAAGTTTTATTAATATTTGAAATAAAAAAGAATTTATATTGAAAAAATATTAATGTATAAAATTTAAAAATTTTTCTTAATATTTATATATATTTATATAATAATAATTATACTTTGTTTAGAGTCTTGGAACTTCAAATTTTTTATACTAAAATTGTTATTTGACACCCCCCATTTTTAACTATTGTCCAAACACCCCGAGAAATTGCCCAAATAAAAATAATGGATTTGAAGATTACGAATAAATTTAGATAAAATCCTTAACACGTGTTTTCAAGTAGCGGCAACTTATGAAACTTTACAATATGGTTAATGCTTTATTGATGATTTTTTTTATCTCAATTATACACATATAAGGTCTAAATAATCATTGAAGTTGAATACGATTTTATATATTACGGTTATTTGAGTTTCAGGTTTTTCCGAAAGTTTTGCCCGACAAAATAGATTGTTTACATTTTTTTTATTTTTTTTTATTTATTTATATTATACATATTACATGGGAATCCCTTGTGGGTTGAAACATGCGTAAAAAGTGAATTTTTTTTTTTAATTTTGATAATTACAATTTTGCTTAGAGAAATAAAGGAAAAAATAAAGGTTTATAATCAGAAAGTTAAAGCTTAGAAAAAGTGTTACATATTTTGATCTTAATGTTTTGTTTTATACCAAAAAAAGAAAGAGAGGGTTATTTCTATTTTAACTTTTTATCTTTTTTAGGAAAACAAAATAAAAAAAAATTTTTTTTTCTTAATTCTTAAATATTAAATTTATGTACTGTCGACCTGATTTTGATAAAAAGCGATACAGATGGCTCTAATTTCAGGTCCAAGGCCTAAATATTCTATATTTTTCCAAACGTTGTAATAATTATCTTGAGTAAGGGTATCATACAATTTGTCAGAATCACCATCATATAAAAATTCCAATAAAGATTCAAAATTTTCAGGAGAAGGTACATTAATTTCGATTATAGTGTTTTTTGCTTTAACGGGTTCAAAAATATCTTGAAAGAAACTTGATTGCAACATTAACCATTCTTTATGAACCCAAAATGGTCTTTCTATACCATTCACATGCAACGCTGCGAATGATGTAGATTTATCACCTAAATAGACCGGACCCAATTGATGTAATTTCGATATAATAAATGTAACCGGAATACCATCAAGGGTTGCAGCGGATGAGAAATTTCTGAATTGAATTTTTTGAAATCGAGATGAGATGGTTGACATTTTTTGAAAAGAAGGTTGCTTAAATTGTAAAGAAGAT